AAAAAAAAAAAGATCAGTTGAAAGCAGGAAATAATTTTGTTATGCCTAGATAAGGTATATTAATCTCCGACCCATTAACCAAATAAAGTAAGTTTCATCATTCAGAAAGCACTGAAGTACTTGGCAAATAAACCCTCTCAGACTCCTAATGCTCCATCTGTTTCACTGAAAAGCAAGTTGGTGCTGATCCAGATGCCAGGTCACTCGGCCCTGGCCAGAACAGTACAACAGAAACAGGGCTGCCCGTGACTTCTTGGCTTCCTGTCTCCTCACTGGGAGAGAGTGCTGCTATCATTCAGTTTAAATGTTCGTTTTTAAAAAAAAAAAAAAAAGTACGGACAACTCAGTGGCATGTGGCTCAATCCACCTACAATTTGGGGAGCAGTGTTTCTCACCCAAGCACTGGAAGCTCCATTGCGTGCCCTAATGTGCTGGCCCCGTGCTCCTTCAGAAGACCCACCTACGCCAGGAGTACCAGACATACCTTTCGCCTCCTTGCAGAAGTGGCAAAAGAGCCGGAGTTCCTAGGATTCTGCCATAGAAGGGATGGGGAAACAAGCTCTCTCGCCAGGCAGAAGGTACCAGTGCAGGGGCGAGATGAACTATGGGGAGTCTTACGAGTGTTCCCAGTTTACAGGGCACAGGCAAAGGTCAAGCAAGAGAAGGGGGGAGCAGGGAGCAAATGGAAAACACATTTAAACTTTCACCAATGAACCCCCAAATCCTAGGATTCTGCCATAGAAGGGATGGGGAAACAAGCTCTCTCGCCAGGCAGAAGGTACCAGTGCAGGGGCGAGATGAACTATGGGGAGTCTTACGAGTGTTCCCAGTTTACAGGGCACAGGCAAAGGTCAAGCAAGAGAAGGGGGGAGCAGGGAGCAAATGGAAAACACATTTAAACTTTCACCAATGAACCCCCAAATCTCTACTTGCTTAATTACCAGGAATAAAAGTAGACTGTGGAGAGGGCTGCGATACCACGAGACAACTCAGTGAGTCACAGTATGCCATCACTCTGCAGTTCCCAGTCTGAGACACCAGAAAAACCTTTTCCAAGTGGTACTTGCGCTGGCTTTGGCTGGAGGGGAGGCTGCCCGGGAGGCAGGGGTGGGAGCTGCCAGCTTGCTGCGAAGCATTCACATTGTGCTGGGCCATCAACGCCTTCAGCTCCTGCAAAGAGAAATACCCAAAGAGCTTTAACGCGTCACTGCGACGTAACCTACCATGCTGTCTGTTCCAGATGCTCCAACTGTACTTGTTCTCAGATAAAGAGGGAGAATATTGCCCAGAGAAGCTGTGGATGCCCCATCCCTGGATGTCTTCAAGGCCAGGTTGGATGAGGCTTTGAGCAACCTGGTCTAGTGGAAGGGGCCCATAGCAGGGGGGTTGGGACTAGATGGTCTTTAAGATCCCTTCCAACCCAAACCATTCCATCATTCTATGAATATAGTCCAATTTCCATGCTGTTCTGAAACGCTGGATTTCCAAATCTGCTGACTATGACAGCAAGCAACAAAAGCATTCCCAATGCTGTGCACATTCTGGCAGAATGTACTCAGAGTCTGTTATTGTATGTATTAGACCCTGTGAGAGAGAGGACTCTTGGGCAACACATAAAAGCCAGTCACAATTATCACCAGATCAATGCAGTTCAGAAAAAAAACAAACTGCCAAGTATTACACGCAGCTAAACCACAAGAGAAAGTCAATTAGAACCATTTTCCAGAATACCCCATAAAAAAATAAAAGCCCAAGTTTCAACAGAAAGGGCGTTGCAGGAAACAAGTCAGTCTATTTAACGATGACGACCCTGTTCTTGTAAACCCAGGGCAGCAAATTCCAGGAACAACACAAGTCTCAAGAGCTTGAGCGCTGTTTTCTGCTATCTTCTCCTCTCCCCCCTTCACCCTCAAGTGAAGAATGAGCAAGGATGATATAAGGCCAAAGGCACCTTATATCAGCCACGAGGTATTCCTAGGATTCCTGTTTCCGCAGGGAGCATCTGCCTGAGGTGGGTATGCGAGCAGTTGCATCGGCATATTGCGAGTCTCCCAGGAAGCGTGTTGACCAACTTGTGGTAATCCAAGGGCAAAACCAAGACAGTGCAGAACCCCAGGGATAATAGAGGGAGTGTATATACTAGGAAAATTGCTACTTAACTTTCTGCTGTCTGTGCAACATAGATCATGCTTCAAACACTATTTAATTTTTAAACAATTAAGGGCGGTGAGAGTGATATTGCAAATATATTAGGAGATAGCAAGCTAGCTTCAATACTGAACCAGCCCCTACCACTTAACTCGTGACTAAGCAAAGGCAGCAGTTCTCAAAGATCAAGCTCTACATTAATAATTAGCAAGACCTATAACTTCTGGAAACTGCTCAAGAGGAGAGCGATTCTAATATGTGCAGAGGTGTGATCCGTTTTGCATCAAGCTCTTTGCAAAAATTCCTCAAGGGAGTAAGAATCAAAGCTGAAGACTCAAGGTGATCCCATTAGAGCAAGCAAAGACAAAACAACCTGAGGAGGAAGAAGAGGTGTGAGGGACGTCAGGATGCTTACAATGGAAGCTATAGCTTCAGGCTTAGCATAAGCAGTCAATTCAAACACCAGTAACTTACAAGAAAGTGACTTTTAATCAAAAATTTAATAAACTCCTTATTTCTAAAAGGCAGGAGGATACCCCCACCTCTAAGGATCAGAAGAGACTGAACTTATTTGCTGCTCTGAGGAGCTTACAAACCCCTCCTTACCCCCTGCACTCAACAGGCCACTTTTAGACAGGTTATTAAGAAGGAAGCCAGGCAATTAAAGCCACAAGGACTATTAGCACAATGCTTACATTTAAACCCTGTGGACAAATCCAGCAGAATTGAGAAGTCTTACTGGAGGCACATTACCAAGGTGATTAAAAATGTTGCACTGCACAACAAATTCCACTTATTGAGCTCAAAAGAACACTCTTCTGGTTGTGGTAAGCCTATCCCTTCCTTTAGGATGCTTCGCAGAGTTCTCCTGATGCCTGGCGTTGACTAAGGGCCTCGAGGGCACGCTTGTCTCTCCGCACACGCTGTGACTGCCTTCCGGATTTCGGCTTGAACGAACAGTCACACAGGTTGGGGAAAGAAGAGGATACACAGCAGAAGCCTTCCCGAGGAGTATGCATGAGAAGCAGAAGAAGGAGAGCACGACAAATAGGAAAGGGAGAGAGTCAGCTACAAGAAATTCAGAACAGTTTTGAGTGTTATGTTGCCGACTTAGTAGTCGATATGAAGCTTCAAAGACAAGGCAATTAGAGACATGACTGTCATCTCTGGCTGTGCTCCCCCAGACCTCTTGCAGAAGTCCCACCGGCTATCTTGCGCTACGCAGCCCCGGCCTCGCGTTCAACACACGCGTGACTCTCAGCTCAAGCTGTGGCGCAGCACTACAGGCATTCCACCTTCCTTTGGTGCAGGGTCAAACCCCCTCAAAGGGGCAGGCAGCATTTTTAATCCACCTCACTCTAAGGAACAGCTGAATGAAATACCAGCTTCTGCTTAATAGATCTTCCCCAGACATCACCTGGAGGTGAACACAGAGATCACAAAGATTTTTATGCAATAAAAATTACTAAGTAAAGCCTAAATTTTTTCTAAAAGTTCACAAATTTATTGCTATTTTGCCATCCAATTCTTTTTGAAAATAATCTGTTTATAGAAAAGCTTTTCCAATACACTGCGCAATATAACCTGACCTCTGCAAGGATCATGATTCCACTTGTTTCTTCTCCAGCATGCCATCTCCTGTCATTTCCCTGCCCATCCTCCCTTTACTGCTCCATCCACAGACAGCTACTCTT